TAAGGAGGACTTTGATAAATATTTCGGTAATGAACACGGCTACCTTTTGATGAACCATAGTTACGAAACCGATTGGTTGATAGGTTGGCTGCTATGTGATCGTATGAGATTGCTAGGTGTATGTAATCTTTGAAAATAAATTTTTAAATACATGATACATATATACACATATGTGCGTGCGCCGTGCGTGCGTGTAATGTATTTATATATGTATATTGGTACAAGAACATTTTGAAAAATATATATTTTTTAGAACTGTAAAGCTTATGCTAAGAAGTCGATACAATATATTCCTACGCTGGGATGGGCATGGAAATTCGCTGAAAGTATCTTCCTTGAGAGGAGTTGGGAGAAAGATAAGGAGAATATTAAACTTCAAATCAAGGAGCTTGTCGAGTATCCTGATACAATGTGGGTGAGTATATCTTACCATTTTTTAAATCCAAACGTGTGCGTATTAGCTACTTCAGAGCAAATAATTCTAATGATTTCAGAGTATTTAATGTGCTGGTAAAAATAATTATATAGTTATAAAAATGGATATGTAAATTAATTATAGTTGCTGCTCTATCCCGAGGGTACGCGCTTTACGCCGAAAAAGCTAGAAGCTAGTCAGAAATTTGCCATCGAAAAAGGTCTACCAGTATTAAAATATCATTTAACGCCACGCACAAAGGGCTTTACCGCCAGCATTCCACATATGAGAGGCAAAGCAACGGCCATCTATGATATTCAGATAGCATTCAAGCCATCTGATCCTGTGAAACCGACTATGAAGAATCTTCTTTTTGGAAAACAGCTAGAAGGACATATGTATGCTAAAAGAATTCCAATTGAGGAAGTACCGGAAGGAGATGAAGCGGCTGCTGAATGGCTGCAGACGCTTTATCAGCAAAAGGTAGTATTAAATTTTCATTGCTCCTTGAATCAGATGGAAAAGTTGGTACTATTTTGGTAGAAATATAATTCTGGTACATAATAATGCTTTCTAAGTTTGAGTAGAAAGGCTTAATCTGAATTAAATTAAGAGTTGAGTAGTCATCTGTTCAATAAAGATAAAACCATATGTAATTGACTTGCTTTTATTACGCTTTATCCAACTTGAGTATTTTCAAGTACAAAAAGAACATTGGACTTTTTTTTCTGTGAGCATTAGGATAAAGGTCATAAGTTTGTGATTAAATCGAGTAGAACAAGAGAATTGATCTCTATTAAATGACTTAGTGTATTACTTAGATACAACAATATGACACGGTAACAATAGATGAAATCTTTGTTTGATAGGACCGTATGACAGAGAGTTTCTACGAGACCGGTGATTTTTTTACTACGAGCGGAGTACCTAGGATAGGTTCGTTCAGGCTAAAAAGAAGATACTATTCCCTTGTTAACACCATTTGCTGGGCGATAGTTGTTCTTGTACCAATGCTATATTACCTCCTAAGGCTCCTGCTATCTGGCTCGATCTTTGGCATTACTGTCGTGGTCGGGGTTATCTTTGTATGTGAGTATTATCTTTTATATTCACTTAATTACGTTATTATTTTCAACTCTAGTTACACTAAATTATTTACATTCAGCAATTGACAAAAAATAATTATTATATAATTATTATATAATTGTATATTAAAAATGTTTTAATTAAATATTATATGCGTATGTGTATATATATATATATATATATATATACACATACACATATAACATACATACGCACTCACATCCGCGTGCGTACGTAAACATAGGGTGTAGCAGTAGCAGAACGACGATATTGAGCTTATTTTTCGAAAAATGTACATTTTCTTGAAAAATGTTTCTGACGAAAGTTGTAGGGTTTTAATGGCATTTTCATATGACCTTTGGCATATACACTCACAGTTAAACCAATAGCACTATCTATTATGTTAAGATGACCTTGAAGTTAGAACAGTTTTGTACGAAACATTTTATCGATATACATTCATTAAAATTACCTTGTAATTTTATTGTATAAGCTACCGAACATGTTACCGTAAGATCTGACTCGTATGTAGATTGTCTAGCTTCAAATCACTTTCGTGTACCTTGGAGAAAATTAATCGCGCCAACGCAAAGATTCGGCTGTCAACTCTTCACAAGTCTCGAGTCTCAAACATACGCATTTTTTTCTGATGGCCTTTCGTGAAAAGAAATGCTTGGTTTATAATTTATATAAAATATATATATTCTGTCTGGGACACCCTATACATACAATGTCATTGTTATAAAAGCTACCTCAATTCATTTTAAATGTTGTATCATTTTAAACAGAACAAATTAAATTACAGTTTATGTGCTAATGTACAAAACTCTCGGAATGTCGGAAATAAGCAAGAGTTCATCGTATGGTACGGAGGATACAAAAAAGGACAAATAATTTCAAAGCAATTGCTTCATGAGAGATGATTCCCGTAAAAAAATAGAAGTGTCAAAACAAGGATCGAAGAAACAGATTATACGATTATACGATTTAGATGAGAAGAGTGACAAGAAAGAAGATTGGAAAAGAATACAGCAGATACGTATATATTTGATTTATACTCTTGTGTAATTCATTCAGTGCGCGCAAGCGCACGTGATGCAACAAATGCGTTTTCTATATGGATTAAATATGTAACACATAGACTTACATATACTCAATATGCAGAGTATTCCGAAATTCACGAATAAAAATACAACATTAAGAAAGTTTCCAAAAAATTAAGTAAAACAGTTATTTGTAAATTTTTATTTTAAGTAATAGTTTTATGAAATAATAAGAGTTTAAATATGACCAATTGCAGACTACGTTTGAACGCTGAAGTGCACGTTTACTAGTAGCGTTTTTCTTTGAGATGCACTGGGTGAAGTCTTCCTGCTCCCGGTTGACTTTTATTTTCAAATTTTAAATGTCACACTGACTCTACATCATTCCTTTGTTGAGACGGTGTAGCAAAATCTCACTTCATGCATAAAACTTGCCCATAGCCGCGGAAATATGGTATATCAAATTTCGCCTATGATCAGCCATGGAAACACGCTACACTGTCTAATAGTGTTTTCTACTGGGAGAACTAGTGCAATACTAGTGCATACTGAGTGTAACTTTATTGTTCCACTGTAAAAACCAGTTCACATATTTTTAGTGTTTAATGTTCCATTGATAAAACTGGTGCAAAAACTTGCACTGAGTTCAACTTTTTTTCCACTGTATTTGAAGTCAGTGGAGACCAGTGCAAGTTGAAATTGAGCTAAGGTATGATATTATGTTATGATACGATATTACATTATTCTAATTAATGTCATTGTGTTAGTTTTGATGTTTCTAATAATAACTACGCAATGATATTTTAATGTTTAAACTCTTGAAACGTAAAAAATTAATTTTAAAAAATGTTTTAAATAAATAAATAAATCAGAATATTGTAAAGTAATTTTAAGTTTGAACATAATTATATATATTTTTAGAGGTGTTATAAAATGGATATCTTATGATATATTCCATTGAATCGCACTAAACCTGCACTATTACTGCACTAGTGCAGTTTTCATCGAAACTTGGCACAGCGCTGGTGTTGCACCAGTTTTCTCAGTGGAAAACGCTATAAATGTTGCACTAGTCAAGGAAAAACGCTATAATGGTACCATACACTCGATTTGTGGACAGGTGACCGTCTAAATATAAGCTATAATTGGTTACATTTAAAACCTAACCTTAGATCTCAAAAACTACTGCTTAAAATAAAAATTGTATACATAACTTTTTTATTTAATTTTTCTAAAACTTTCTTGTGGTATTTTGATTTGCAAATTCCAGGACACCCTATATATACGTACACATATACGTGTGTGTATGTATGTGTGTGTGTGTATATGAGTGCGTACGTGTGGTGCGCGCGCGCGCGCGCGCGTGTGTGTATATATACTTGGTATTATATATTATATGACGTTTACATCTTTTTTGCGTTATTTTTTTCGTATATAGCAATTGTTATTGTTAAATAAACGATTTAATCCCAATCATAGACAACAGTTATTTATCTAAAATGCCTTGGAGTGTTTCGATAAGAGTCCGGTTCTTTTATACAGTGGATTCAGCATCAGCGAAGTATTAACTTCCAGTAATTTATTGGCAATAAATATAAGTATTAATAGATACCCTTGTTAAGCTGTGTTAAACAATATAGGATGTTAAACAATTTTAGAATTTATATACATATATTTCAATGATGAAATTAAGTAATCCACAGTTTTAAAAAATTCATGGTGTTTTAAAAAATGTTGCTAATATAATTTTTGTCTTATTATTATATGTGTTTAACCTTATCATTATATGTGAAAATGATTCTGTTATTATCTATTAATTCTTTATTTTGCAAAGTTGCATCATCAATGTGTTCGACTGTCTGTGATTGCTTCAATCATTAATGTTTCTTCCAATGTAGTTTAGTTTTAATCTTAGTTCAACTGTCTCTTCATCTTTTTCTAGTTTCAAGAATTAGAAAAAGATGAAGTGCAAGTTGAATCGAAATTAAAGTATTTCTATATTGGTAGAAACAGACATAAATCTATTTTAGTGCACAGAATCAAGACCACCTTTTGTCCCTATAACGTTGTAAACCATGTTTACGGCCCGATTTATTCTGAAGTTATAACATCCAATTATATAACTACTGATATTAAATGTCCTGTTAAAAGTATTTTACAATGAAATTATTATATCAACGTAGTAACTTTGTCGTTAAGTAGTTTACACAACATCTAACATCAGTAAAAATGAAGATTTTTTAGTCAAAACGTTATCATTAATAAAACACATTCTATAATGTTCAAAGTATTTTTCATATTTTTGGTTCGTACCAGATGGATAGCTTTAGAGAATGGCAACATCAATTTGCATTAAATAATTTGATGCTAATTTGACTCACAATCAGTGTAATCACCGTAAAACTTTACAAAGATGCGATAATGATGAGCCAATTCTATACTGATTTATTAAATACCATATAACTTGTATAACTTAAAATCTATTTGAGCAATAGTTATTTTCTATTGAATGTAAAATGTCTGATATAGGTATACATGAATTAGTAGTTTTATTTGGAAAGTATTTGAGATACGTGCATTAAGTTTCAGATTTGTAAGTGATGGTTTCATGATGGCGTTCTTGGTAACCACCAGCGGGGCCCGCTATGTAGTTGACAATTCTGAGGTTTCCTTTTGCATCGTAAAAACCATATCGACCTTTGACGCTTCCATCTCGACGACGCTCTTCCATTTTGTACTGTCTATTTTTTCTAAGAGTTTTATACGTATTTTGATCTTTTCAATCATTTTCTTGAAAATTTTTATGAAATTTTCCTTAATCGATTTATTTTTTTTTACATACGCGATAATTAATATAGTTATAATGATGGCAGAGCAATGTATATTACCCATGTCCAGTATCAAAACCGAATACGTATGTTCCTGGTCCTCGATGATTCCTTATTTGAAAATCTATTCGACTTCCATCTGGTGATTGGTCTGATGTCCTTTTCAACATCATAGCGGAATAAATTGTCGAAATATTACTTGTATGTATCGGTGTGATTTTTCCATTTGTATTATCATCATACACTGGCAACGTAATCGCGAGTGAAAAAAGTTTTAGAAGAAGCTACGAAAAAAAGCATAGATAATTAAAAAATTTTGGCTTCTTATAATTTTATTCTTTTATTTACAATACAATTCTATTATTTCTAGATACTATAATAATATTTCTTTTAAGAATTAAACTTTAGAGAACGGAGGCTTATTTTTTAAATCTTAATTATTTTTCCTTGAATAAAAAATTTGTTATAATTCATTATTTTTATTTTATTTCTTATCTCAAAAGATGACATTGTTTCAGCGCCACTTTAATAGTGATTTTTCGGTCCTTTAAAGGACCGAAATTAATGAAATTCCATCGAATTGTATTTAGAGATAAAAATAATAAGAAAAATGGAACAGACGTAGACCGAATAAAGAATAAATTTGAAAATAATGTGTAACATGAGCTAAAAATGCAGGAGATTCTTACAAAAGAATTTCATTTGTTTAGGAATTTTGTTTATTATTTTCGATCAGTAATTGATTTTGCATCGGACAATAATAACAGAATACTCGTATAATCATATGCTCCGTTTTCAAAACATTCGAAATTTATTTAATTGACTTAACGTTTTTTACGATTTTAATATGAAAAATAATTAGAATTAAAAACTATTTCGTTGATTAGACAGTTTTTTATTAGTATATTGAAAAATGCTAAGTATAATATCAAGAAAATATATTATTATTATAAACATAAAAAACTAAAAAAAATAGAAAAAATCTTATTTTTCTATATTTTATTATAGTATCAGAGTTTAAATAATAAAATTGAACATTATTTTTAATTATCTGTTGTTTGATTAATAATTTGTATAGAAAAATTGCACCTTATTTTCATAAACCTGGCGTTGATGTTTTTGTTAATCTTTACAGGTTCAGTTTTTGTATGTGATAAAACATACAAAATGAACATTCGAAATGAACACACATCAAGTTCTGAAATTTATATAGAAACTGTGAAAATTATATGAAGACTTCTAAGAAAAATTTTTACCAAGAAATTTATTAACATATAATTTAATCACTTTCACATTTTCGTGGTCTGTTTCCTCGATCTGTATTCTTATCTCTCGTATATACAATTGTCATGTCAGAGAAGAATATAATTATTATAATTTAATCATCTTTCGTTGAAAGACATTTCTCGCAGAGTATTTTATGGTAATAATACAGGTACTTACAAAGCACTTGATGTACATTATATCTTCTTCGGTGAACAATTGCTAGAGAATTGATCGTTCGAACATACCTTCACGAAGCTTTCACTTTCCCCATGATCAGATCTCTTTCCTTTTCCTGTTTCTTTCTCTTTTTGACATCCAGTGATTTTCTCGTACAAAGGACTTACTCATAACAATGGTCACGGCAATATGATCAGCAATTGGAATAATTGTAAAAGAGTAGTCGAGCGTGTCTCCATCCGGAGGCATGGAACAATATTTTGTTTTGCAATAATTATTTCTATCAACTTGTCTCACCGGTGATACAGGCATTTTTAAAGCTATTGTATAAATACATGTTGAAAAAGTGAGGATGTTTCATTTGAAAGGATAGAGCTCGCATGAAAATGGTGACAAGAATAATTTTTGTTGTTCTATGCAGCCTTTGTTTGCTGCTGTTAGAATCAGCGAATGTAAGTAACTGAAAGAGATCTGTTGGTCATGTATTTACTTATTAAAATGTATTTACTTATTTTCTGATGAAAAAAATGTGGAATAGCGCTATTTATTATTACATATTATATCGAATAAATGTTTTAAATATTTTAAAATTACAATATATATATATATATATAAGTCGAAAAGTTTGGCGGTATTTTGTTAGCTCAAAATTATATATACAATATCTTCGTTAAAAATGATCAAAATTTAAATTTTAAAAAAGGGTTTTAAAGCTTGAAATCTCTACTTTCGAATGGTTATTATATTTTTTGAGTTTATGTGAGTTTTGTAATTTTTATATATAGAAAATTATGAGCTGAAAAAAGGGCAATTGTTCTTCTCACCTTGTATGTCACGTGTCAAAAAAAATTGCGAAATTTTTCGACTATCTATACTGTGAAAGTTTGGAATTTTTCCTTACAAAATCGTTTTTTAAAGATGTTTCTACAATTTTTTGTTTTCGAGTTATTCGCGAGTTAAGTAAAACGGAGCATTCTGATTTTGATTGCTCATAACTCCATTAAAAATCATCGTACTGCAATTAAAAAAACCGATTCTTAAAGCTGAAATCTTTATAACCATTGCGCAATGGAAAAAAAGGACAGTAATATCACATTCTTAGCTCAAATGTACAATATTCTATTTTTTTTTAAATTGGTAATTACATCACACTTGATAGAGCAACGTTTCAGCTTTAAGAATCGTTTCAGCTTAAGAATCTGTTTTATTAATTACGGTATGATAATTTTTAACGGAGTTATATGAGCAATCAAAATCAGAATGCTCTTTTATTTAATCCGCGTGTAACTTAGTAACAAAAAGTCGTAGGAACATTTTTTAAAAACAAACTTTTAGAAAAAATTTTAAGCTTTCACGTCAGATAATCGAAAATTTTGCAACAAATATATTCTGTATATAATTTTGAGCTAACAAAATTCCGCAGAACTTTTTCTCTGACCCAATATATAAAAGTTGTAAGATTTTAAGTAACGTGTCACGTAGCGATGTTATTAAAATATATTGAATCTTGTTAAGGTCACATAAAAATCACTTTGAAATTTGTAAAAGGGAAATCCCCATTTTCCCTGACGGAAAAATTTCGTTGAAATTTCGCTGAAATTGTTCTTCGTTTTGGAACTCTTCAGTGAATTTCGCTGAATGCTCGATTTTTGTTGTTTTTGCTGTCATTATTTGATATAAGTGCTGTAGCTTTACCGGGTTTTCGCTGTCACAGTGACATCAGATATCATGCTTGATTTCTGCTGTCAGTATTTGATATGGCAAACTTTGCCCGATATTTGCTGTGTTCAGCAGAGAAAACTAATCAGTTAGCGATTAGTGATTCTTTAATATATTGGATCTTTCATTTAGTTCTTCGCTGGATCTAAGTATAGGAACCAATCACATTAAAGAATCACACTAAGAGCTCAATACTATCTTTAATAGTATCTCGTTGGTGGTCAATTAAGCGTCAAGCTTTCTGCATTATGAGACTTGAAGATTACAGCATCACCGAGATTAAAAATACATAATAATTATTTCAGCAAATTTTTATATGTTTGCAGTCATTAAAATGCAGATCAAGTGTCCAGCAGGTTCAACACGATCAATACCAGAAGGTTATGCAGATTTGCAAAGCACGATCTAAAACTGATAACAATCATAGCAATAATGATTCATCGAGTGAAGGCGACGATAGCGATGACTCTTTAAGCGTAGATTTGTTTGGTACAAGGTTTTTTATTATGAATGGCGGCAACAAGTTCTCCAACATACAGTCTTGGAAAGACCCTAATGAGAATCGGTAGCGAAACAAGATGAAATAATCATCCACGAATAACTGATATAATTAGATAATAATAAGAACTAAAAATATTAAAATCAGTATAATTAAAGCCGATAGTACACGATATTTGTTGCTAACTGGATTAGATTCTTGTAACCGTACAAATTGGGATGGCAAGATTCTAATCCAGCTAGCAATCCAGTAGGAAAACAAGCATCGTATACCACCGACTTAATATTTATGTATGTATAATAAAGGAATCATAGAAACGATCAGAAAAACATATTAATGATTGACACTATTCCATTAGTTATACAAACGGAAACCGGAAAAGCAGTCATTCTTCTCGTAGCAGCAATAATCGTGATTTCAGCTATTCCAATAGAGCTGGTAGGTCGAGCTATGACCAAACGTATGACGACTTCGAGAATTATGGCAAGCAACAAGAACAAGTAAGATATATTAATAGAGCTCTAATTATGTATAAATACATACATATTGTTTTCTCGAAGTATTCATATTTTGAATTCATATTTTAAAAAACGGCAAACTAAAATTAAAATTAAAGAAAAAAATGTAAAATAAAAGAAATGCAGTCATCATCTGTAGCAATAATGGCTTCTGCACACTGGACAATACTGGATGCGGAAATGCTTGCCACGCGGCAAAATTGGCGTTCAGCAGAGAAAGCTTTGCAACTGTTGTAAAATTCTTCAATAATTAATAAGTATTATTTTGAAATATTTTATATACACTTTTTTTGTTAGTTTTCAAGTTAATAGTAATATGTCTTTTTATCGTAATAGAAATATTTTGAGCCAATATTGTTTTTTTTTTTTTTAGAATATGTCTAATAACAATACAATAATTTAACAATTTATATTAACACAAAGTATTATTTAATTTTATTATAGTGCATCACCCAGTGTTTCTTCAATGAATTAAATATGGTAAATATATATATATACTATTTCAAAACTTAATAGATAGACTGATTTTCTCAATTCTGGCTTTTTAATAGGTGGATCAAAGGGGATACCCTGAGCAAGTCTCGATCATTCAGTTTATGACACGTAATACGCACAATCCAGAATTACAGGATTTGATAGAGGAAGCTGTCATAGAATGTTATCATTATTTGGATTCAGATGTGAGACAGAACGCATGTTACTTCTCGGAAAATCTCCTGACTTGCTTAATTGATAAAGGAAAGGAAGTATGTATATAAATTTTTCAAGGACCACAATTTAGTGGCATAACAATTATAGAAACGTTTGTACAATTTTGTACTCCTTGGGTTATTAATAATGTATGGACATCTTAGAATTTCTCTTTTCTTAGAATAAATAAAAAATATATATAAATATATAATAAGTACAGAAGTTTAATTTAGTATTAAAAAATAAAAATTTTAGTTAATAAAAATTAAATATAGTAAAATAAAGGATGATATTTAAAAAATTCTATGAGAATGAATTTTAAAAATACAAAAAATTCTAATATTTTTTACGTAATTGATTTTTTCAGAGATGCGAAGATTGGGATGATTGATAACATTGTATAGACATCTTACATCTAATAATTTCTGTAGAAGAAATAAATAAAGTGAGAAGTAAGAAATAGGAAGATCATTCTCATAAAAATATTAATTTTAAAATATTATATACACTTGTAAAACATTATAGAGTACATGTAATAATGATAAAAAGATTAACACGTTAATTAATATAACAATTTATGTGTATTTGATTACACGTAGGTAAAGCATCTTCGTAGGTAAAGCATAATTATATATTTTTATTTTCCTTATTGCAAAAGAGCTTAAAGACTGACATAAATTTCCTAGACCTTCTCTTTTTGCACAAGGCACTACTAAATACAACACCTTGCGAGGATAAAGTGATAACAAAATAACACGTTTTACATACGTTGCTTTTATCTCTCTATTAATCGTTACTTCCTCTTCTTCAGGTCCTCGAATCGTTTCATCAAGTCATCAAAATCAATGTCATCATTCACGGATAAATTCGCGGGCGAATCATTGTTCTCTGTCGGCACTGCTGGCAAATCCGGAAGTTGATAGTTGTTTATTGGTATCTTGGACCTTGGTTGGGGTTTTGGTTTCTCATCTGACTATATATGGAAAATATAATTGTACATATGTTCTTATGATTCAATAGAATTTTACGAAAATATTTTCATATTTTAGACAAATATCTTCATTTATTTTAATAATTATTTAAAAATTATAAAGATGAGAATTCTATGACTTTACCTGTTTATTTAAATCAGGTGGGAAGTTAGACTGGTACGGTGGTGGTAAATCTTCCTATAATTAATGATTTTTCAAATATTATAACTAAAAATATTTTTTATTATCACTGTTAACATTAATAAAAAAATATAATTTGAGAAATTATTGACAATAAACACAAGTTACTTACGGGTTTGTTCGAATTAGCATTGTCTAGAGGTATGTTGTACGAAAGTGTAGTGGGATTGAAAGAAGTATTCTGATCTTTTTCAATAGAAGGTGGAGATGTTGGGGATACAAATCCCAAGGTATGAGTATCTTTCTCCGAATCCTGGAACATGATATTTTTAATGATGCAATGATCAAAATTATTAGAAATCATTATTAAACGATTTCATAAATTCAGCTTGCTAATTTCTAAAAATTATATTAGTATTCTTCCATTTTTAAACAAAAATAGATTTAAATTACCATGCTCGAATGAAATCCAGGATCGGGTAATAGAGGTGCTTGTGGATAACCTATGAAGCCAGGAGGATGAGGTATTCCTCCACTGGCTGTGTCCAGATTATTCCTTGATTCCCCTCCTATGTCTATTAACATCGCATCCTGGGCTTCTGCCATTATTTGTGGATCTGGCTCATATTCCACGTTGTAATTCTTGGCGATTTCTATTAAATATTTCTCCACAAGTAATTTTGATGGTGATTGCACGCTCATTTTATGCTTCAGTTTTTCTGATATGGTTTGAATTGCTTCTTCTCGGCAAGCTTCTGTATACTGTTTACCATATTTGGATGTCAAGATGTCCGCTATCACTTTGATTTCCTGTACATCTGTCTGGATGCGAGGCGCCGCCCAAAGAATGGTTGATATAGCTTCTGCCAAACCGTCGTCAAGATTTCTGAATAGATAATAAATTAAAATTTTTTATATCTGAATAATAAATTACTTTAAAGTAAGTTGTTATTTTAATTAATGAATTATTAATCGATTTTGTTTATCAAAAAGTTCGAAGGAAATATGAGTGGAAACATACGTTGTCACTAAAATTTATATTATATTTATAAGTTATCATTACAAGTCATTGGGTGTATTCAGCAGATTCAATTGTTGTACAACCGTTTTATGATTGTCTGCTGAAATATCATTCTTCTAGATCTAAAAGTATAATCCAATCAACGCGAAGAAAACTTCCAACAGTTGCAAAATAAACGTTCTGCTGAATACAGCCATTGTGATATATGTAGATTATATATTTAGGATCGTCTTAAGTACAATCTTAAGATGTCACAAGCCAATCACGAAGTTGTATTAGTATCTTAAGATATTACTTAAGGCAGTTTTAAAATAAGAGCAGACTATGAATACCGACCATAGAGCCACAATACTGACTTTATTTGCTGGATAAGACCAAAACGTGCCAGCAACAAATCGCAGTACATCTCCAACAACTCCATTGCTTCCACCATGTAGTCCTCACGAATAATATGTTCTACCCTGATCTTAGCACGCTCCGTTTTACCAGTGGCAATAAAATCAGCAATCTCGCGACGCGCCTTCTGCGCCAACTCTGTTTTCTTCTTTTCTAGCAATTTCAGCCGGTTGATTGCTAGACGCAAATGCGTTTTCAACTTTGTATAGTTTGGCCCACTTGAGAACATTCTTGATGTATTTTCAGTATGACTGAGAAAATTACTTGTAAAACTAACTAGTTACAATATTTTTCTTTCAAAAAGTAACTAGTTATCGTTTCTGAAATGTTACAGTTACAGTTATTATTTTTCAGCTAATCTTTTGTTAATTTTTTATAATTTCTATGCGTTGCTATTTTAAATATAAGAATCTTATACATTTCTGTATGACATTACTAGATTATTTTATTTATTAAACATTCAATTATACGCTCTATATTATTTATAATAAATTAATATATACACTTGGAATCAAAATTAAAAAATCAATAATAAGATAAGTTGATATATATACTGTAAGGATCATAATGTAATTTTTAATGCAGATATTTTTTTAGAGTGTGATGATTAGAAATAAAGATACATATGTTCTAATCACGAGAAATAATCACTGATTATTTAATACTTTATTTTCAGCTCATATGTTGGCGAATAAGTTGTACAGGGTGTCCCGAATTTAAATAATCAAACTTCGGGGGCGAGTAGAGGATCAATAAACCAAGAAAAAAAGTTCTTTAGAGATATGCTCGTTTTTGCTTCGTTTTGTGTGGACGGATGAAGGTTTACAAGAAGAGGAATTATTAATCAAAGAAATTGTCATGTAATGGGTTCATGAAAATCCCAGGACTGTACTTAAAGTAACTATCAAATTAGTTATTAAACTAATATTATATTTATCAATTCTTTGTTGTATGACAAATGTTTCAAGCATATAAATTAGCTATAGGAAAGAGGTTGTCAGATCTATCTATCTTATAGCAATCTACAAGTTTGAAAAATTGTTGTATGACAAAACAGACAAATATAATCTTAACTAATGCCTAATGTTTTACAACAACCGTGAGTGTAGTTATGAATGGTTTTAGTTGTAAGAATTGAATCACGGTGGAATATTCTCTTTATATTCTACTTGATTAGTCAATTCGTGCAACTATAATCACTTATAACTTATGTCTATTGTAGAATAGGCTTTAATTACCAAAAATGTAATTAAGTTACATTTTTACAGTTATAAATGGAAAGAGGAATGAAATCGAATTGAAAAAGTAACTCTAACTGCATTATAAATATTGAATTATTTTTCTATCTTTAGTTATCACTATATATCAGCTGTTTCTTTTACTAAAAATTTTCCAATTTATATCTATCTAATTTTAACCCATAAATAACTGGGATTCAATGCCAAGAGGAAATTTTAAAATGATCAAAATCAGATAAAAGTTGATTATAGATATTTATGGTGTCATTTTTTATAATATAAAAGTGTATAATCACTTGTATATTTATGAATTTTTTTTCATTATTAAAAAAAATGATAATTATTTAGAAGATACTCCTCACTTTCAATTTCAATTAATAAAATAATGCTTATTCAACGCATTTTTGTACTGTAAAAACAAAAATTATATAGAAAATAATTTGTGTTTTTAAAGCAGAGAATTTGTGCAACCCTCCATGATCTATCGATATGTTACAAATTTCTTAACCTAATACTTAACAATAGTTAACTTCAACGATAAAAAAAACTAACAATTAATATCTCGCGTCTCTGGACTGAGCACAACATTTTACTGCCAGAGTCTTTCGTTCTATGCATAATCGCGTGGAATGAACATAATTTCATTGAAATTGAAGGGAAAGAGCGTCTTCTGGATAATTGTCGAAAAAATATTGCGATATTTGTAACAATTTGATATACAATTCATTGATTAATTAATTCAATTCTAGGTTATAATTGCATATTTTTTTCTAACCGAAACAAAAAGTTTAAATATTAAGAATACAAATAAGATTAATTCAATATACCTTTTAACGATGATAGCACAACCTTTTTTACTGATTAAGACCATTAAGAAAATGACAATTCTCGAACAACATTACTCATGACAGTCATGACATCACTAACAGTTATCTCGATCTCGGGCTCGGGAGAAGACTGGTAATTTTTAAAACAGAATCTAGTAATTAAATTTTTCAGAGCCGCGGCAACACTGGTAAATGTGACTAGGTCTGTTCGTTTGCTTGCACTTTTGGCACTCGACATCTTCGCTTTCTCTCTTTAGCAAAATATAGATCTGTTTTTTATTGCCGCACTTTCTGAACTAGTACACACAGTGCAATAAGTTAAAGTGAAACAAACGTATATTTGTTTCACTTCAACTTATTGCACTGGTTCAGAGTGCAGCAATAAAAAAACAGACCTAATGTATTTTCTATCTCATTTTAAGTGCAAAAATATTTGGGGATTTCATGCAACGCGAACAGATCTATTATATAAATATTTTTGCACTTAAAATGAGATAGATACATGTTTTGCTTTAAAAAGAGAGAAAGCAAAAATGTCAAGTGACAAAAGTGCAAGCAACGCGAACAGACCTAATGTGGCACGTGACGAGCTATGGTAATTGGTATACGTTTCGTCAGCTGACGTGCAAGCGACATTAGAATATACTTTGGGCGAAAGCTGGTTTCACGAGATTTAATTTATTTTCGAGACAAACACAATGACACTTCATTCTGCAGGAAAGGGTAAACTTTTAGCGGTGATTGGCGACGAGGTTCGTGTAAATATAGATGTTTAATTATAACCTGATCGAAGATGATCTTTAAAGACTCAGATCCAATGGAGAATCGTGAGAGCTTGATATTTTGTTTTCTCATAGTTTCATTGGT